AACAATGAACTCCTATGTGTGATGTAAATTTAATTCAAATATTGCAGAGAAATTGAAGATTTTCATTTATCCTGTTTATGAAATTTATTTTAATATGATTGTCCTTAATTACATGTTGATGAAATGAAGATTGAATGCTTTGATGAATTGTTCATGTGTGTATTTATTATTCGTACATGTACGTATTTAGTATAGTATGCTTGATGTATAATACTAGTTTATTCATATACAATGCAAATTGTATCAATTTATAATTGTGTTCTGTATTGTTTTGGTTTTTCAGTTAAAATCTGACAAATAATAATTTGAATAGAGATTTCTTTTATTTTTTAAAAACTCGTTTAAAAAGGAGGGATATTATACGAAAACTCAAGAAAATGAAAATTCAATTTTAATTGATTATGAAAAAATCTTTGACATTTTGTTACGCATTTATGCACAATTTTGTAAAATCTCCAGAAATTTTAAACTTTCGGATTCTCTCAATGAAAAAAAATATTTACAAACAAGCGTTTAAACACAAATGTTTTGCTAACCTCAGTCAAATGCCTAACTGGGCTTTTTTTATCAAAATTTATCCGTATCAAACTTTTTTATACCCCCCGCAAACGAAGTTTAGGGAGGGGTATATTGGAATCACTAAGTCCGTCTGCCTGTAAACGAGATTTTTTCCGGACCATTACTCAAAAACTCTTGGAAGGATTTGTCTGAAAATTTGTACAAATGTTATTAACCATATGAACAGACTTTTGACAATTGAACGCACCCGGTGAAATCTAAACATCTACAAAAACAGAGCTCGTGCCTTGCTTACAAAAACTGTGTGATCGATTTGAACACATGACTTAGCTCGGAATGACAACCACCCATTCTCAATATAAGGGCACAAATGCCTCTCTGATTTTTTAAAAAATGAAGTTCAAGATAAAATTTTTTCTATCAATTACTTTTGAAAGAAAGTATCTGAAGATTTTGTTTCCAGATTTTTTTCATCAAATTATAATACATGAAATAATTACAAGACGATAAAGTAGAGGGTAATTTTATTCAGAAATGTAGCTTGAAATGTACGTTACTCTTTCTTCAATGTCCAAAAAAATATGTCAAAAAAATGTAGTCATTAAAATCACAATTGGAATATCTCATCTTAACACCAGCACATCCTACCAACTCTGTCAGCAACATATTTTCTCGGCATACGAACGTGCGTTTGATTTTTCCTTTCAAAAAACAAAGGTTACTTTTTGATCCAGATGTGTAAAAACATTTTTTAAATATATGCTTTAAATTCTTCTCTCTGTTTTGTTAAGAGCGATCTGTTTGGAATCTTGTCATTTTTAATAGATACTTGAACCTAACATGTACATGTAGTAAAATTCTATTTTGTAGTTACTGTCTTTTTTAACATATATCCATGCCGATTTAGAAAACTATGTAAATGTAACGTACATTTCAAGATATATTTCTGTTTAATAAAAAGCTTAAAATTCATCTAAAATTCATCTAAAAATTCATTGTTTTGTTTCAGTTTATTCCAAAAAAAGATTCTCTATGTAATCACATCGTGTTATATGTCACAATCACCACTATAAAGACACGATTGCCTCAGAATATGAGTAGGTAACGTACATTTCAAGCTTGTAATAATATGTAAATTAGTAATAAGAAAATATTGGAAAAAAAAACAATTTTTGACATAAAAATCATATCAATGAAGCGTTTTAATGCAGTAATATAAGAAATCATAATGTAACAAACGAGGTTATTGTCATCAGCTACAAGAATGTCACATCACTTCGGTAACGTTCATTTCACATATTATTGGGGAGTCCCCTCCACCTCAGTTCATAACCATTCTTTTGTGCTGTTTCGCTGAAATTGCCATCGGTCGTAGCCTAGTTACTTCTAACTGTGTGCAAGGTTACAGACAAAAAAATATAAGAGTCAGATGTATTTTGCTATGATCTAACAAATGTTCGTGTTTGGCCATTGAAACTTAACATAAATCTATTCCGAATATATCCATCGACAGTCTTGTTAACAATTTCATTTAGTATGTTGCAACATCGTTTTTCAAAACACAAACATGCGTGCCTTTCAGCAGATCTGGAAAAATATAACCCAAAATGCAATGATTCAAACAAAACTGAGTATTCAGTATTTGAAATCTACGTGACCGTCTTGTGTTCTGGGTTTATTTGTTTTGTTTCTTTTTCTTTTCTTTTTTGTTTTGTTTTTTGTTTTTTTTTTACCAATTATAAGCCTATGCATACCTTGTTTTAAATTATCAACAACAATTCAATTAATATTGACGAAAAGTCGCACATGAAAAGTAAACAAACTGCAAAAAGGTTGCCAAAGATGAATTTAAGACACTTAGAAACAAATTTTCTAGCATGTGGTAACAGTTTAAAACATTTACGAGGATTGGGGTGCATTTAGATGTGGCCAGTTGTCTAATGGATTGTAACGATAATTTTGTTTCGCTCGTGTAAACGCAATTCATTGACTAAATTAAAAAAAAAATGTCAGTTAGAAATACATAAAATGTACGTTACCATACGTAACGTACATTTCAAATATAAAAATCAATTCTCTTCCACAAGCATACATTAGACGCGCAATATATTGATACTATTTGAACCTGCATATCATAAGAAATGCATCATACAGGTTTCGTATTCAGAAATATATACCAGGTATCAAAATTATATTACATAATAATTGACCTTAATTTATTTTTTTCCTCAGCAGAGACGTTTCTTTTCATTAATTTTGGGATTTAGCCGACCTCCAACCTTTGAAACTGTCCTTTGTGTACACATTCGAGTGTGTGAAAGTATTAGAATACATGAAAATTCGTGCGAGATTCACTTAATTCGAATTTCATGGTAACGTACATTTCAGTCACGTACATTTCAAATGATCACTTTTCATGTAAAAAATAATTTTTAATTGTGTTTAGCAAAACGTCTTTGCCAGTTTACAGGATACAAGGGGTTGCTTATTCAGAGTCGTCTCATATTTTCTACTTAATATGTATTCTTAATGGAAGAATATAGGTAACGTACATTTCTTTCTTATCTCTACGATTGAAAATGTCTTTCATTCCGTAAACATATTTATAAAAGTTGCTCAAGTTGTTCAATTTCATGTTACATTATCTAAGTAAGAGTAATTAATCCTTTAAAATTTCAAATTTAGCCCATCAATAAATAAAGGAGAACAAAACTATCAGGTGAATAATCTTTGTGTTTGCTTGTAATGTGGTTGAAATAGAATTAAGCGACAGGGACATTGCACAATAAAAATTATTTATTATCACAAAGAAAATGTATTTATTGTTATGAAAAAAAATACATATGATACAAGGTTTAACTTATCAGAAAATTTTTACTTGAGAATCAAAACTACATATTACACAGAGGGGATTTAGAATAATATTTGCCTCGGCGACAGTAACGTACATTTCAAATAGGCTACTATATTTGAATTTGGAACTCCTTAAATACCCTTTCAGATCGATAATTATATGAATTCTTATTCATTGTTATATGACTATTTATAATGTTGATTTAAAAATTACATCAGTGTTATTTCTTTTAAATGAAAATGAGGCGACATCATTTGAGCCCTTATATTGAGAATGGGTGAACGCTTGTGAAGGTGTTTTGCTTTCTAACATTTCTACTTTGAATAAAATTATTTTTCTGGATTAAAATTTTAATATTTCTCATGAATACACAACAAGATTGCCACTTTTCTGAAGGATAAAGAATAAAGTTAAAATATGTGAAAGTGCAAGGATGTGTCAATTAAACCCGCCAACAAATTCAAAGTTAAAATAACTTTTCAATGAAATAAGAATTTTAGTTGATTTTTGTGTGAAATGCTATTAAAATGTTTAATGCGTAATATTATACAGAAAAAAATAAACTTCATTTCCGTGTCCAAGTTCCTTTAAAACCGCATTGCTAGATAAAGATAAAAGTGAAATAAACTAAATTCACAAGACTGATTACATGTAAGGAGACAGTCATTTTGCGCATTTAAATTTTTGAAGTTATCTGCCCTTGATGGAAAAGAGAAATTTCTTACATTTCTCTAACCATTTCTGCGGTACAAATTTATTTTTCATAGTTTGATAAAGAGAGAGTTTGTGCATATTTCCACCAAGAGATTTGTTTGAAATTGACTTTTTACAATATCTGATAAAATAAAACATGCGCTAGCTGTCCAGAGACTTCAATGTGAAATTCAAGGTGCAACTAATTTGACAAAAATCAAAATTTTGTAAAATCCTTTGCTGGAGCTTTTTTATTTGATAACATCTTCAAATGCTACCATGATTAAAATTATTGTATCATTTATTTATTAGGTCCAATATATGGCCGTAATACATAGTATATCTTAAAGTCGATAATTTTCATTTTATTGCAAAAGAATGTGACCAACATTTCTGCAAAATAACGTGAGCTTAGAATGTGCGTTGAGCTGTATATATGCTGGTACATGTATACAGTCTGACAAAACGACATGGAAATGAACATCAATGAACTACCTGTTAATGTGAAGTCAGGTTCATCAAAGAAGAAGAGAAGAGGTGGAAAACACAATTTTTAATCACATTTACCCAAAAAAGATTTTTAAAAACTATGATGATGTTCTAAAGCATTGATAAGAGAGACAATTACGTCACGTTTTATTGATTCATGGTTAGCAAGAGGCCAAGTCATAAATAGTCTTTTTAACCAAATTGAGCAGGTTCGACTTTAAGAAATTCACAGCGCAAATAACAAGAATTTGCCTTTGTTTTTTGTTACCTTGAATCAGTATAACTTAATCTTTATTTGTTTAACTTTTTATCCTTACAATACATATAATCAGAACAGTGCCTTATGGAGCATTAAAACTGGTTTCTTTGTCATTCTTGCAGAAGGAAAGTAGAGATCTCGAACCCCATTCAAATATTCAGAAAGACCTTGAACAATTACAGAACTATGAAGATCAAACTGGAAATTCAGAAAGGCACATCAACACACATGTAAGTAAAACGCCATTAAAGTGTAGTTCAAATTACTTACAGAGACAAAAAAAGTTCTCAAACCAGGGACGAAATTTTTAAGTGTGAATTTTGTCGGAAGGCATTGTCTTTATCAGATGACTTTACTATCTACATGAGGACACAAAATGGTAATGTATCTTATTGTTGTAATGCATGTGGAAAAAACTAGGAACCAATAAGGTACCTTACAGAGAAATACGAGGATACACACAGATAAAACACTTTATAAATGTGATGAATTTGAGAAGTCATTCAGTGAGACACACATGAGTACACACACAGCTGAAAAGCCTTATAAATGTGAAGTGTGTGAGAAGGCATGCATTCAGTTGGTCAGGAAATCTAAAGAGTCACATGAGGATACATACTGGTGAAAAACCATACAAATGTGATGTTTGTGGGAAGGAATTCAACCAGCTAGGAAATTACAGAATCACATTAGGACACAGACTGTTGAAAAACCTATCAATTGTGATGTGTGTGAAAGGAGTTTTTCTGGAGCAAAAGCCCTACATGACCATATGATTATACATACAGGTGAAAAACCTGATATATGTTTTGTGTGTAGGAAGGCATTCACTCGTTCAAGTGACTTACAGACTCACATGAGGACACACACAGGTGAAAAACCATATACATGTGAAGTGTGTGGGAAGGCATTCTCTCGTTCAAGTGACTTACAGAGTCACAGGAGGATATTACAATTAGATGATAAACCTTATAAATGTAATTTGTGTGGAAAGGCATTCACTCGTTCAGGTTACTTACAGAATCACATGAGGACACATTCAGGTGATAAACCTTATGAAGGTGATGTTTGCCAGAAGGCATTTAACCATTCAAGTAATTTATTGAATTTAATGAGGATACATACAGGTGATAAACTTTATAAATGCAATATGTGTGAAAAGACATTCACTCAGTCAAACATCTTACAAAGTCACACGAGGACACATACTGGTGAAAAACCTTATATACATGTGATGTGTGTGGAAAGGCATTTTACCGTTCAAGTTCCAAACTTAGACACATGAGGATACATACAGGTGAAAAAACTTATGAATGTGGTGTTTGTGGACAGACATTCAGAAGATCAGATACCTTTCAAAAACACATGAGGATTCATATATGTAATTACATATTTATTGTCTGACAAAATGTCATGTAAATGAACATCAGTGATATACCTATTAATAAGAGCTGTTTTCAAATCAGATATATCAAAGAAGAAAGTGAAGAGACAAATAACACGATTTAATCAAACCTGTCAAAAAATCCTTAATAAAAATCTCAATTAATTTTGATATTATCCTTATAAACATTAACAACACTTTGACCTGTGTTGACTAGCAGCGTAGCAAAGAATGGGCTTAAATCCCAGTTAGCTACAAAGTTATGATGCAAAATAAGGATACAGAAAATCCCGTTTTTAGCTCACCTGAGCCGAAGGCTCAAGTGAGCTTAAATTCTGATAATATTGTATCCAGCATCCGTCTGTCTGTCTGTACACTTTTCACATTTTTGACTTCTTCTCAAGAGATAATTGGGAATTAATGAAAATTTAGTGGTATGTTTTAAAAATCTTCTTAAGAACCACTATGCCAGGAAAATTTAAACTCATGTGTTACCATCCTCAGGTAGTGTAGATTTAAGTTTGTTCAAAGCATGACCACCGGGGTAGGGCGGGTCCACAGTGGCCGAGCAAAGTTTAACATAGAAATATATATGAGAATTCTTTAAAAATCTTCTCATGAATAACAAAGCTGTAATTGATCATATTTATATGGAAGCATCCTCAGGTAGTGTAGATTCAAGTTTGTGCAAATCATGACCCCCAGGGCTAGGGCGGGGCCACAATGGCCGACCAAAGTTTTACATAGATATATATAGGAAATTTCTTTAAAATTATCTTCTCAAGAAGAACAAAACCATAGCTGGTCATGGATTTACTTTTGGATTTAAACTTTTCAATGATATACCAATTTCTCCTTTTTCTTACTCACAGTGCTCAGGTGAGCAATGTGGCCCATGGGCCTCTTGTATTTATTTAGTCGTGTTAAAGTTGTAATACGTTTTTAAGTCGGCATTTCAAAATCACTAGTATTACATCTCGCTAAAAATTAAATACCCAATTTAAAGGACAAATCGCTACATTTGCGTCGCACTAAAAATTCCACTTATTCGGTAATTTAACATTATTTTCAAAATTAAGGAATTGTTTTTAAGCAATATATTTAGAATAGATTTTTACTTCATTGTTTTAAAGTATAGAAAACAAGACACATCGGTTTTTACCGAAATACGTTTTGAATATATCGTATTATTCACCTGTATAGTGGAAAAAAGAGAAAGAAAAAAGGAAAGTAAAATTTTGTTTGCAATGTAATTCATTTAAGTCTAATTCTGAATTTTCTACATATAATCATCAAAAAACGTAGCTTAACACACTACTTAAAACAATTTTTGCTAAATTTACAGATGGAAAAAGAAGTCGGGTCATCCAATTCAAAGATTCAAAGTGAGGCTGAAGAGTCAACCAGCAAAGCTTTTCAATGTGATTTCTGTTTAAAGAACTTCAGCCTGTCCAGTAGCTTGATCAGACATAAAAGAATACATACTGGAGACAAACCTTATAAGTGTGATGTGTGTGGGAAGGCATTCACCCAGTCTTATACCCGTCATGAACACATGAGGATACATACAGGTGATAAACCTTATAAATGTGAGGTGTGTGGGAAGGCATTCAACAAATTATGTAACTTATACTGCCACATGAGGACACATACTGGTGATAAATTTTATCAATGTGACATGTGTGGGAAAGCATTCAGTCAGTCACAACATTTACAGAAACACATGAAAACACATGCAGGTGATATACCTTATAAATGCAGTGTGTGTGAGAAGGCATTGGCCGATTCCGGCTCCTTAAAAAGACACATGAGGATACATACAGGTGATAAACCTTATACATGTGATGTGTGTGGGAAGGCATTCAACCAAGCACACAACTTACAAAAACACATGAGAACACATACAGGTGATAAACCTTATAAATGTGTTGTGTGTGGGAAAGCATTCAGCCAGACAAATCATTTACAGACACACTTGAGAACACATACAGGTGATAAACCTTATAAATGTTACGTTTGTGGAAAGTTATTCAAACGGAAGGATACCTTACAAGTACACATGAGAATACATACAGGTGATGAACCTTACAAATGTGGTGTTTGTGAGAAGGCCTTCAAATATGTCACCAATTATAAAACACACATGAGGACACATACCGGAGATAAACCTTATAAATGCGATGTGTGTGGCAAGGCATTCAGCCATTCATATACTTGTCAGACACACATGAGGACACACACAGGTGATAAACCTTATAAATGTCATGTGTGTGGAAAAGCATTCAGCCGGTCTTATACCTGTCATGAACACTTGAGGATACACACAGGTGATAAACTTAAAAACTGTGATGTGTGTGGGAAGGCTTTCAATAATTTAGGCAACTTATACCGCCACACGAAGATACACACAGGTGATAAATCTTATCAATGTGATGTGTGCGGGAAGGCCTTCAACCAATCACAGAACTTACAAAAACACATGAGAACACATACAGGTGATAAACCTTATAAATGTAATGTGTGTGAGAAAGCATTCAGCCAGACAAATCACTTACAGACACACATGAGAATACATACAGGTGATAAACCTTATAAATGTAATGTGTGTGAGAAAGCATTCAGCCAGACAAATCAATTACAGATACACATGAGAACACATACAGGTGATAAACCTTATCAATGTGATGTACATTCTGGTGATAAATCTTTTCAATGTGATGTGTGTGGGAAGGCATTCAACAATTCAGGAAACTTACAGAAACATATGAGGACACATACAGGTGATAAACCTTATAAATGTGATATGTGTGAGAAAGCATTCAGCCAGACAAATCACTTACAGACACACATGAGAACACATACGGGTGATAAACCGTATAATTGTGAGGTTTGTGATAAGTTATTCTCTCGGAAAGACACCTTACAAGGACACATGAGAATACATACAGGTGATGAACCCTACAAGTGTGATGTATGTGAGAGGGCCTTTAAATATGCCACTGATTTAAAAAGACACAAGATGACACATACTGGAAATAAACCTTATAAATGTGATTTCTGTCTAAGAGCATATTGTAAAAAGTCAGATCTAGACAAACACCGGAAGATACACACGTGTGATTAACCTGTTAAGTGTGTGTAGAAAATCATTCAACCGATCTACATACAGAAATATAGAGACGAGAAACCTCAGAACTGTCATATTTTCGGAAAGGTATTCAATCAATTACTAATGCATACGTTAAAAATCTAGATACAGATATATAGAGGCGAGAAACCTTAGTATTGTGATGTGTTTGGAAATTTGAAAAAATATCCACAGATCTAGCATTTAAACTTACAAAAACTCATGGTGACGCATTTCAAATAAATGCAAAACCGTACAAATTGCATTTAAAGTAACCTACAGAAACTCATGGTGACATATTTCAAACCTTACTAATGGGATGTTTGTGGAAAGTCAGTTGAAAAAAGCCATAGATGAAGAGCCATTTGCGGATATATAAATGTTTGATAGCCTATACCAGAATACCTCTGAAAACAGAACAGAATGGTGAGAAACTCACAAATTTGGGTCGACCGATAATTTCGATTGAATTGAGAAATCAAAAAAGATAGATACATCTGGAAATTGAAATTAATTTAACAGTGATTTGTTCCATATATCTTTTTAAGAGAAATATGTCTGGTACAGATAGGTACACATATAAGTAAAGTCCTTGTAAACAATGGGTTGACTTAACGCCTTATTTTGGATCTTGATGAGACTACTCTAACAAGTTGAAAATAAAGTGAATCAAAAATATATTATAACCAATAGAAAGAGCAACGTATACATGGTTATTTTAGCTAGAACATATGTACAAAAGCAATGTCTTATTGCCATGAATCAAAATTGAAACAATGATACATTAGTGTAGTCTTCCGGAATTTGACATGTACCCGGAGTGGTTTTTATGTCGCGCTATAAATATTAATAGGAGGCGGGGCTATCGATCGGTGTCATTGTTGACATTTTTCTCTCTCCATCTCTCTCTCTAGAAATTCGAATACGTGTTTGGAATATTACAGCAATGTCATTATGATTTTTTTTTTTTTAAATGTGAGGACACGCAAAATTTAAACAACATTTAATGTGCTAAAGTCTGAAAAGGGCACCAAACATAATGATTTACATTTAGGTCATGTTAAAGAATACAATGTAACTGTTCCCACAAGTTCACTCGCAGGTGGACATCACGTGATGAATTGTATATTTAGCAGGTCAATCGAAGTCATAACAATGGAAGCGAGAAGTTTGTTTGGAACATGTTTTTTTTGTTAAATTAAGTGTGAGCGCACATTTGTCAGCACTTCTCCTTTTAATATGTCATTATTTTGTTCAATATACAACTACAGTTTTCGTAAGAACAGCCGACAAACATGCGCTGACTTTTTATTCAGACGATGAAAAATGCGTGACCCTGATTATCTATTGAAATTCAACAAATCTTCAGGCACCATGCCTTCGATATTTATTTAGTTTACCTCGAAAAGAGCATTTTAAATTCACATCCGTACCATAAATACACAGTTAAGATATCGGGGGTTTATATGATGGAAAAAATTTACATTTTATGGAACTTAAATTTGCAGCATTTTTTCTGGCTAGTTAAGTCCACCCATTCTTTAAGGACATTGGCAACGTTTTTGGTTTTGGTACAGAATTTTTCAAGATTTTTTGAACAGGTTTAATGGTACCAAACATGTTCAATTCAGTTCCTTTTTACCCATCAAGCCAGCCTTCCTTTAACGATTTTGTCAAATCAATGTTTTTAGAATTTTCAATGCATTTCCTATGTAAAATGTTGATAAAATGGGCCTATATTATTTTTAACCATACGTTTTCTCTAAAACCCATTTATTTCATAAGGTTTATACATAAAACACATTGTTGAAACCTTATTTCCAATGACATGAATATGATTTGGCTGAAAATGCGAATATTGAAACAAAACACAGAAATGCCAGCACTTTTCTTTAATTTTGAGTTGCTTCCCTTTACTGTAATAACATCTAATCAATATTCATAATGATCAAGAGAGTGGTTGTTTGTTTCTAATCTATAATTTACTGAATTGGAAACGAACTGTCATAAAACATTTTTGCAAGAATTTATAGTAACTTTTTAATGGTGCATCATTCACATAACCTATGGAATCGTTCTCATTCGGTCCACCTAGCTATCAACACTTTCAGCATAGTTATTTCACACCTTTGCACTTCCCAGCAATCATTTACCTATTCTAAATGACGACATGTTAACTGTCTGCCCCCTCAACACAATGTAAACAAACCCATCGCTGCTTTTCTTTTATTATTGTAGAGTTGAATGTATTCCGATAAAAAAACACACGTGCTTTTGTTTACCTCTCAGTCTGTTACAGATGCTTTCTTTGTTTTCAGCGCCTAGAGAATTCCATACGGGAGATCACTCTCAATGACTTTTTTTCATAAGTAAAGAAACCTGGGTATAAACCTTTTTTCTCCGGAAACCCTTCGTTGCCAATGACCTTAAGTAAGTTAATTTGGCAAGAGTAGTCTGACATTAATCAGTAATAATTCCATTTATGTTACAGTTTAATTAGCCAACATTGGCCTTTGCTTACATAAATGTTGGAAAGTTGGTATTTCTAGATGAAAATCTTTGAAAATATCTTCAATTAGTTTTGGTTAAAAAACGATGAACTCCTATGTGTGATGTAAACTTAATTTAAATATTGCGGAGAAATTGATTTTTATTTTATCCTATTTATGAAATTTATTTTTATATGGTTGTCCTTTATTACATGTTGATGAAATGAATCTTGAATGCTTTGATTAGTTGTTCATGTGTGTATTTATTATTTGTAAATGTAAGTATTTAGTATAGTATGCTTGGTGTACAATACTAGTTTATTCATATACAATGCAAATTGTATCAATTTATAATTGTGTTCTGCATTGTTTTGGTTTTTCAGCTAAAATCTGACTAATAAATACATTGAATAGAGATATTTTTATTTTTTAAAAACTCGTTTAAAGAGGAGGGATATTATACAAAAAATCAAGAAAATGAAAATTCAATTTTAATTAATTATGAAACAATCTTTGACATTTTGTTACGCATTTATGCACAATTTTGTAAAATCTCCAGAAATTTTAAACTTTCTGATTCTCTCAATGAAAAAAAAAATATTTACAAAAAATCGTTTAAACACAAATGTTTGGCTAACCTCATTCAAATGCGTAACTGGGCTTTTCTGATCAAAATTTATCCGTATTAAGCTATTTCATACCCTCGCAAACGAAGTTTAAGGGGGGTATATTGGAATCACCATGTCCGTCTGCCTGTAGACGAGATTTTGTCCGGACCATTACTCAGAAACTCTTCAAAGGATTTGTCTGAAAAAGTGTACAAATGTTATTCACAATATGAAGTTGTGCACCTGATATTTTCATCTTGATACGATTATTATTTTGAATTTTACAGGTGTTTTTTTTTTTCATTTTTATTTTGTGATTTTGTCCGGACCGTTTCTGTAGTAATTTTCTATCAGTATATGCATATATCTTATCAAAAATGGCGATTTGCTGAACTGCTAAAGTATTTTGAAATGAATACCGAATATAGCAAGGAACTGATAAAATTTACTCATTGCCAGGACAATGGACCTGATTTTAAGCATTTCTGGAGACATGAGAAGTTAATTAATTAAGGTCTTCCGTCTTCAGCGGAAGACCTTCTTGTTATTCTTAGGTTTCTTTTTCACTTTTATTATTATTATTCTTTTTTTTCTTACCGATTTTGTGCACGCGATTTCTCGAAAACGGCTCGATGGATTTCCATGAAACTTTCAGGACTTATATAGCATTACTTGAACCTCATGCATTTTTTTCGATTTGATGACGTCACTTCCGGTTTGGAGATATTGTCGATTTTATATTTTTTGAAGGGTCATGTTGTCTCCAGACTTTCTCAATAATGGCTTAAGATAGAAACATGAAACTTTCAGGTATGATAGACCAAAGTCTATAGATATGTATAACGTATTTCATTTTTATCGGAAGTGACGTACGTCGGCGCTCGCTATGGCCCGAAAATAGTCGTATCGCGAATTTCAAATTTTTGAACACCTTTTCTACGATATCTTTTTACCTGGAAACATTTTGTTAAAACATATAGAACAAAAGAAGTGTAGAATTCCAAGATCTTTCAAATGATATATTGCAAAAGGGGCTGGCTCCTAAAATGAGGGACCTAGAGGGGCCGAAAGTTTTTTCCTTATATCTCAAAAAGTATTGAGAATTTGTAATAGAAAAGAAGCAAAGTTGTTCAAAATGTCAAGCTTTATCTACTGCAGTCGTCAAAATACGTCCGGCGTCGTCACTTCCGGCGAAACCGGAAATAGTCGGAAAACGCGTATTTTTGCCGTTTTTGCCAGGTTTTTGGATAACATATATGCCTCTGGGAGCATAAAAATTAATTTTTCGTCCGTCAGCGTCATTTCCGATCAAACCGGAAGTAGCCAAAAATAGCTAATTTTGAAGGTTTTTGATGAAAATTGAAATTATATAGTCACTGGAGACGACATTGCTCATTGCTTTCTTTTTTTATGTCACTTCCGGCACTTCCGGTCAAAACCGGACGGAAGACCTACTCGTTGCTTTGCAACGAGCTTTGCTCTAGTTATTATTCTTTTTTTTCTTACCGATTTTGTGCACGCAATTTCTCGGAAACGGCTGGATGGATTTCCATGAAACTTTCAGGACTCATGTAGCATTACTTGAACCTTATGCATTTTTTTCCGATTTGATGACGTCACTTCCGGTTTGGAGATATTGTCGATTTTATGATTTTTGAAGGGTCAGGTTGTCCTCGAACGTTCTAAAAAATGGCTATAGATAGAAACGTGAAAATTTCAGGTCTGATAGTCCGAAGTCTATAGATATGTAAAATTAATTTCATTTCTATCTGAAGTGCCGCACGTCGGCGCTTGCTATGGCGCGAAAATAGTCGTAATGCCAATTTCAAAATTTTTACCCCCTTTTCTACGATATCTTTTTACCTGGGAATATTTTGTTGAAACATATAGAACAAAAGAAGTGTAGAATTCCAAGATCTTTTAAATGATATCTCGAAAAAAGGGCTGGCCCCTAAAATTAAGGGACTAGAGGGGCCGAAAGTTTTTTCTTTATATCTCAAAAAGTATTGAGAATTTGTAATACGTCAAAGAAGCAAAGTTGTTCAAAATGTCAAGCTTTATCTACTGAAGTCATCAAAATACATCCGTCGTCGTCACTTCCGGACAAACCGGAAGTAGTCAGAAAACGCGTATTTTTGCTGTTCTTAATAAGTTCTTGGATAACATATGTCTCTGCAAGCATAAAAATTAATTTTTCGTCTGTCGTCCTCACTTCCGGTCAAACCGGAAGTAGCCAAAAATAGCTGATTTTGAAGGTTTTGATGCAAAATTGAAAGTATAAAGTCACTGGAGACGATTTAGCTCATTGCTTTCTTTTGATC